TGCACCTTGTTGTCTGGTATAGTTCAAGCCTGGACAGTATATGGTTTCAAGGGGGACTGTAAGCAGTTTCTGTTCACATTCCTCCACATCCCTACCTAACAATAGTTCTTGAACTTGAGGATTTTTTAAGGAACAAATTCACAGTCATAGGATTTGGCTCAACCACAAACTTGTTGATTGAAAAAGAACGTGCTGATGTTCTGAACCAAAGCTTTTAAGCTGGTCTAAATTACACCACATTTTGATTGATTTGTCTGATTTTAAATACCTCCATAATTTAGCCTTGGCTCCTATGCTAAACACACAGTCACCACAGCCAATTAGAAAATAGCTTTTACTGAAAACCACAGACAAAACTTCAAATTTCTGCCCAAGCCTCCACTCAATTCAGTTCCAAACCCTGAGGATTTAGTCGTTAGCTGAGGTTACTTTAACCACTCAGCCCTAGGCCACCTCGGATTTGGCTGATAAATTACAACCCTTCATACGGTTGGTCTATCTGGTGAAAACTGTAGGTCCTCAAGCCAGGTTGTAAGACCATAAGATATAGGAGCAGAATTAGGCCGTTCGTCCCAACAAGTCTGCTCCGCCATTCAATCATGGCTGATATGTTGCTCAACCCCATTCTCCTGCCTTCTCTCTGTAACCCTTGATTCCCCTTAATAATCAAAAACCTATCTATCTCTGTCTTAAATACAGTCAATGACTTGGCCTTCACAGCCTTCTGCAACGGACCCTTTGGAATGTGTGGACGAATTGGACCAGATATCCTAAATAAATCTAGTTCCATTTGCCAACATTTAGCCGATTATCCCTCTAAACTCTTCCTATTCATATACCTATCCAGATGCCTTTTAAATGTTATTATTGTACCCACCTCCACCACTTCCTCTGGCAACTCATTCAATGTATGCACCTAACACTTGAGTGGAAAAAGTTGCGCCTTTAAAATCTTTCCCCCCTCACTTTAAACTTATGCCCTCCAGTTTTGGACTCCCCTGCCCTTGGGGAAAAAGACCTTGGCTATTCACCTTATCTATGTCCCTCAAAATTTTATAAGCCCCTTTAAGGTCACTCCTCAGCCTCTGACACTCCAGGCAAAGAGAGTCCCAGCCTATCCAGCTTCTCCTTATAAGTGGAACCCTCCAGTCCCAGCAACATCCTTGTAAATTTTATCTGTCCCCTTTCTAGTTTAACATCCTTTGTATAGCATGGAGACCAGAATTGTGTGCAGTATTCCAAAACTGGCTTCACCAATGTCTTGTACAGCTGCAAAATGATGTTCCAGCTGCAAAATGATGTTCCAACTGCTGGACTCAATGCTCTGGCCAATGAAGGGAGCCTGCCAAATGCCTTCTTCATCACCTTGTCCACCTGCCACGCCACTTTCAAGGAACTATGAACTTCCATCCCCTTGTGTCTCTGTTCAACAACACTTCCCACGGTCCTACCATTAACTATGTAATAGATCACGTCTACTGGCTCTCCTTTGTTTAGCTTGCTTGTTATCTCACAGAATTCTAATAGATTTGTCAGGCATGAAGTCCCCTTGACGCAGCCATGCTGACTCAGCTCTACTTTACCATGCACTTTTTTTCTCTTTATTCATTCACGGGATGACGGCGTTGCTGGATAGGCAGCACTTATTGCCCATCCCTAATTGCCCAGGGGGCAGTTTAAAGTCAACCACATTGCTGAGAGTCTGGAGTCACATGTAGGCCAGACCAGGTAAGGATGGCAGTTTCCTTCCCTAAAGGACAATAGTGAACCAGGTGGGTTTTTCCTGACAATCGACAATGGTCATTGTTAGATTCTTAATTCCAGATATTTATTGAATTCAAATTCCACCATCTGCCATAGCAGGATTCAAACCAAGGTCCTCAGAACATTACCTGGGTCTCTGGATTAACAGTCCAGTGATAATACCACCACGCCATCACCTCCCCTTGGCAACTTGATAGCACTGTTGATGACACTTTACTGATGATCAAGAGTAAACTGATGGGATGGTAATTGGCTAGGTTGGATTTGTGCTGCTTTTTGTCTACAGGACATACTTGGGCAATTTTCCACGTTGTCGGGTAGATACCAGTGTTGTAACTGTACTGGAGCAGTTTGGCTAGGGGAGCGGCAACTTCTGGAGCACAAGTCTTCAGTACTATTGCCGCAATGTTGTCAGTGTCCGTAGCCTTTGCAGTATCCAGTGTCTCCAACCGTTTCTTGATATCATGTGGAGTGAATCAAATTGATTGAAGACTGGTATCTGTAATGTTGGAGGAGGCCGAGATGGGTCATCCACTCGGCACTTCTGCCTGAAGCTTGCTGCAAAAGCTTCAGCCTTATCTGTTGCACTGATGTGCTGAGCTCTTCCATCATTGGGGATGGGGATATTTGTGGAGTCACCTCCTCTAGTGAGTTGTTTAATTGCTCCCCTACCATTCACAACTGGATGTGGCAGGAATGCAGAGCTTAGATCTGATCTGTCAGTTGTGGGATCGCTTAGCTCTGCCTATCACTTGCTGCTTTCGCTGTTTGGTATGCAAGTAGTCCTGTTTGGTGGCTTCACCAGGTTGATACCTCATCTTCAGGTATGCCTGGTGCTGCTCCTGGCATGTCCTCCTGCACTCTTCATTGAATAAGGGTTGATCCCCTGAGTTGATGGTAATGGTTGAGTGGGGGATATGCCGGGCCATGAGATTACAGGTTGTGCTGGCGTGCAATTCTGCTGTTGATGGCACACAGCGCCTCATGGATGCCCAGTCTTGAGTTGCTAGACCTGTGCGAAGTCTGTCCCATTTAGCATGTTGATAGTATCACACAACTTTGATGGATGTTATTCTCAATATGAAGGCAGGACTTCGTCTCCGCAAGGGCTGTGCAATGGTCACTCTTACTGATACTGTCATGGACAGATGCAACTGCAGCTGGCAGATTGGTGAGGATGTGTATGTTTTTCCCTCATATTGGTTCCATCACCGCCTGCTGCAGACCCAGTCTAGCGGCTATGTCCTTTAGGAACAGACCAGTTTGATCAGTAGTATTGCTGCCGAGTCACTCATGATAGTAAATGTTGAAATCCTCCACCCAGAGTACATTTTGTGCCCTTGCCATCCTCAGTGCTTCCTCTAAGTCTTGTTCAACACCGAGGAGTACTGATTCATCAGCTGAGGGAGGACGGTATGTGGCAATCAGCAGGAGGTTTCCTTGCGCATGTTTAAGCTGAATGCATGAGACTTCTTGGGGTCCAGAGTCATTGTTCAGGACTCCCAGGGCAACTCCTTCTTGACTGTATACCACTGTGCCACCACCTCTGCTGGGTCTGTCCTGCTGGTGGGACAGGACATATTGAGGTATGGTGATGGTGGTGTCTGGGACATTGTCTGTACGGTATGATTCTGTGAGTATGACTGTCAGGCTGTTGCTTAATTAGTCTGTGAGACAGCTCTCCCAATTTTGGCACTAGATGTTAGTGTGGAGGACTTTGCAGGGTCAATGGGGCTGTTTCTGCTGTTGTCTTTTCTGGTGCTAAGGTTGATGCCAGCTGATCTGTCTGGTTTCATTTCTTTGAGACTTTGTAGTGATTGGTACAACTGAATGGCTTGCTAGGCCATTTCAGAGGGCAGTTAAGAGTCAACCACATTGCTGTGGGTCTGGAGTCACATATAGATTTCCTTCCCTGAAGGACATTAGTGAACCAGATGGGTTTTTCTGACAATCAGTAATGATTTCGTGGTGATCAGTCGATTCTTAACACTGGATTTTTTTTTTATTGAATTCAAATACCACCACCTGCTATGGCAGGATTCAAACCCAGGTCCCCAGAACATTTAGTCGAGCAATAATACACTAGGCGATCGCCTACCTACTTGATGAATGTCTGACTTGCAAACTCTTATACTCATGAATGCAATCCCATACAGGGATGTAATTTTAAAGATCCGACATTAAAGTATTTCCTGTGCTTATGAATGGTATTTATGTTATCGTGCATTGTATTCTGACTTGGGTACAAATCGATTTACGACAGAGTCAAGAACCGAACCTGTTTACAAACTAGGGACAGTCTTAGATATGTGCTGAGGGTGGGCTTTTATTTGCAGCCCTTGTGCTCACGGGCTTTGAAGTTCTTTTTCATTTTTAATAAAATCCAATAGGAGGAGATTCTGATCCTACAAAATTTGCGTGTGTTAGTGTTCTCTTGTTCTTCTAACTGGTAGTAGTTGTGGGTTTGGAGGATGCTGTCTGAGAGCCTTGTTGAGTAGTTGCAGAGCAGCTTGTAGATCGTACAAATAGCTACTACTGTGCATTGATGGTGGATGAGTCGAAGGTTTAAGATGACATCCCAATCAAGCTGGCTACTTCTTACTGGTTGGTGTTGAGCCTCTTGGAGTGTTGTTGTCCTTATCCAGGAAAGTGGACTGTATTCCACTACAGTCTTGCTTTCTGCCCTGTAGGGCAGAATTTATGGAATCTGGTGGTGATTTACATGGCTGGTCCAGTTCAGTTTCAGGTCAATGGTAATCCCCAGGATGTTGATGGTGCGGGATTCAGCGATGGAAATGCCATTGAATGTCAGGGGTGTTGCTTAGATCTTCTCTTTTTGGAGGTGATCATTCTTATGTGGTGCAAATATTATTTCCTACTTGTCAGCCCGAGCTCAGGTTTTGCTACTTATGGCCATGAGCTGCTTCAGTACCTGAGATGTTGGTGCTGAACATTATACAATCATCAGCAAACATCCCCACTTCTGACTTTGATGGTGAGAAGGTTGTGGTCAAAGATGATGAGGAAAATGTATTTCATTTCCATGAAAGTTTCTTAGGAAATTGGATTTCAAATGACTGAATGTCTGCAAAAAATCTTTTTCTTTCACTTTTTAAGCTTTTATCAAATGCGAATTGATGAAGTAAAGGATTTTATTTTAATGTAATTGCCACATTTAACTGTGATTCTGGTCTAGTACAATGTGCACAAGTTACTAATGGCTATGTGTCTTTGTTACCTGTAGGTCGGATGTGAAGATGGCTCGGTCAAATTGTTTGAGATTCTTCCAGAAAAACTTCAGTTTGAGAGAAATCTGGATCGTCAAAAAGGTGTGGAGCAATGAGTCTCGTCTTTTGTAATCCTGAACCGTACAGCACAATTGCTAGAGGGTCAGATACTGGTCGCCTTATCTCAATGTAACTCAGCACAGGAGGGTTGCTTGTAACTGCAGTTGGAATGTGTTTTTGAGGGATGAGAAATGTGAGTTTAGTAGTCAATAGCAGTAAGTTACAAATAGAGACTACAATTTGGCATGTGCATGAATTTCAGAGGAGTAATACTGAGTGCGTGTTTGGTGGTACAGAAATTTTGCATTCCTGAAGAAAAGATGTTGTCAAAGATTTTTGTCTGGCATTCATCAGGACAGAGTCACAAAAATACCAAATCTCAAGGAGAAACATGGGTGCTATTTGATTGGTAAGTGGACTTGGTCAAGGTATTGCCATGGAGAGTGCACCAGGAAACAATTACCCCAGCCTCTTGGTTAAGTTGCGAAAAGTAAGTTGCCCCTGAATAATCGATATGTATTTTGGTACATTTGAGGTTTGGTGTTCTTGTGATACTGTCCTGATGAATGCAAGACAAAAAGCTTCAACAGTGTGTCTCTCTCTTTGAACAATATATTGTAGTTAAGTTATTAATCTGGAGTCCTGACCTCAACCAGGTCAGGAGACAGAAGTTTGAATCCCACCCAGCAGCTGTGAAATCGAAAGTCAGTTCCATAAATAAATAAAGTCCGTTCAAATAAAAACCATCTTATCAGTAATAACAATGGTGAAATAACCAGATTATCGTAGCAATACATCAAGTTCACTAACTTCCGTGCTGTGAATGAATAAAAAGAGTAACTATGGACATACTAATGAAATGAGTAGTCACATGACAAATGAATTATAATATAGAAAGGAGCCACATAATGCATTTTGGAGGCAAGAATGAGACAAGACAATACAATGTAAATTTATACTACTTGCAGAAGCAGACAACCTAGGGATGAATTGATCAGAATTTTTTCAGTACAGAGGATACAAGTAGCATCCCATAATTAGCAGCAGGAAAGAAAATAGAAGGGAAGGAGGACCTCACTAAAATTATCATCAGCAGATTGTCAGCCCACAACTCCAATTCATTCCTGGGTTTTAATGGACTTCTAGGTTCTTAAATGAAGTGGCTAGTGAGATAATTGAAGCTTTGTTTTTAACTTTCCAAAAATCCCTAGATATGAGGAAAGTTCTTTTAGACTGAAAAATTGCAAATGTAACTCAATTTTTCAAAAAGGGAAGGAGACAAAAGCACAACATCAAAGTGAACCTTTTAGAAATGCATTGAGGAGGAATTTCTTCAGCCAGAGGATGGTGAATCTGTGGAGCTCATTATTGCAGAACACTGTGGGGGCCAATTCATTGAGTGTATTTAAGACAGAGATAGTTAGGTTCTTGATTGGTAATGGAATCAGGAGAATGGGGAAACGCTAACCCTATTGAGGAAACTATGGGCAAGTTAGCTTAACGCAGTGAAGATGTTAAAAGCTACTGGTAAAGTTCGCATAGCAAGTATTTCAAAAAAGTTCAAAATAATGATGCAGGGTTAACATAGTTTTGTTAAAAGGAAATCATATTTAGACAACTAATTGGTTTCTGTGAAAGCAAAGTGCTGTGGATAAAGGAACAAAAACATTAAGGGTAAAAGGATAATGAGAGAGAAAGTAGGACCAATTAAGGATCACAGTGGTAATTTTGTGCATGGGACCAGAGGACATAGATGGGGTTCTAAATGAATACGTTGTGTCAGTGTTCACTCATGAGAAGGACAATATAGATATAGAAATCAGGATGAAAGAGTAAGACCGTAAGATATAGGAATAGAATTAGACCATTCAGCACATCATGTCTGCTCCACCATTCGATCATGGCTGATATCTTTCTCAACCTCATTCTCCTACTTAAAGAAATTAGCATCAACAGAGATGATGGTCTGACATGCTTAAATGTAGATCAATCTCCAGACTAGATAAAGTGTATCTCAGATTGTTGACTGAAGCAAAGGACGTGCTGGCAGTAATTTTCAGTTCCCCTCTGGCCACAGGAGAGGTGCCACAGGACTGGAGGAAAGCCAATGTGATACCATTATTCAAGAAGGGAGCAAAGGATAAACTAGAAACCATCAGAAAACTACAGGCCATCAGTCTAATCTCATTGGTGAGGCAACGATTGGAAGCAATTTTGATGGACAGAATTAATCTGCTGTTGGAGAGGCAGGGATTAATCAAGAACAGTCAGCATGGAGTCGTTAAGGGGAGGTCATGTCGGACCAACGGTTAAATTTTTTGAGGATGTAATCAGGTGTGTAAATGGGGGCAGTGCTTTTGATGTAGTATACTTGGATTTCATCAAGGCTTTTGATAAGATCTTGTGTGTGAGATTGATAACAAAGGTAAGAGCCCATGGGATCCAAAGAATTTTGGCAAATTGGACACACAATTAGCTGAATGGCAAGAAGCAGAGGGTGATAGTTGAGGGGTGTGTTTGTGCCTGGAAGCCTATGCTCAGTGGGATTCTGCAGGGATCAGTGTTGAGGCCCTTGTTGTTTATGATTTATATAAATGATTTAGACTTGAATGTAAGAGGGTTGATTACTAAGTTTGCAGTTGATACAAAAATTGCTGGGTGGTAAATGGTGAGGAGATATATTCTTGCTAGTTGGATGAGCTGTTAAGTGCGGTAGACCTCTATGACGAAAGAATTGCAGGGCTATGGGAAAGCACAGGGAAGTAATTCATTAAGTGACTCTTTCAAAGAGTTGATATTGTTCACAGAATGTGGCAGCTTCTCTCTGTACCATAAAATTTGATGAGTTAGTAATAGTAAAGTTTAATGGACTTCCCTTCTCTGTCTGGCAGGTCGTGTACTTTCTTTGGCTTGGCACAAGTCAGGTTCAATGATTGTGACAGGATCGCTGGATGTTATCCGAGTTTTTGATGTGAAGTCTGGTAAGTTGTGCAATATCTTTGCAGCTCAGATAAAGATGTCAGCATATGGAGGTGGCAAGTCACGCAGAACAAACTAGCTGACATAATATATACAGATGACAACAAGAGGGTGCTATTGCTTTCTTCTAATTAATAAGTTACACAAGCGTTCAAAAGTCATACAACTTTTATACATTTCTTGTTTTTCATTTATTTATGAAACTAATTGACTGTTACCACTCTGTGAAGATGGCCAGAAGATCAAACTCCACTTCTCTACAAACTGTACCAGAAATGCGTATGTTATTTAATCACAAAAATGGTTACTTTATTTCTCTTTATTACTACTATCTGGAACAAAAGAGTGTTAAACAGGTTTCTGCAAAAACAAAACTTAAAAATAGCTGAAGAAATGCAGCAGATCTGGCAGCATGTGTGTAGAGAAAGCAGAGTTAACGTTTCCGGTCCAAACTTATTTTTAAACAAGTGACAAATGGTTATTAATTAAGTTATTGAGCAGACTTAAACTACATCCCCCTAATCCCAAACAAATACGTGTTCATGCACAGATGATATGAGATGACACAGCTCTACAGTATAATTATAATTGGAAGAATATGGGCAAAGCCCTGTTTCAAGAGTCACAACTAAAAGTGTAGAATGAAGTGATTTGCTTACCTGGCAGTTGCAAATGTTCAGCCCTTGTATCCTTTTATCAACTGACAACTCATTCTCCCAGTTAAAAGTTTCCTGATTTCTAAATCCAGAGTCTGTGTGGACCACCGATTTGTAATATAGTCATATACTCCTGACAATCTGATTCGTGACAAACTGTTCCACCCAGTGTCATCTGCTGTGAGAAGAAAAATGCATTCTCGCTGTTGGGTTCGACATTGAATGTGGAATGGTGATCTGGACATCATATCAGTATGACAATGGTCTTCTGATCATCAATTCCTAATGTTGTTCTTATGAGCAAACAAAATCAAAGCCTTTCTCTGTATTCAGGATGTAGCTGAAGTGGGTACCAGAGCCATTGGACTCAAAACAGCATGAAGAAGGGTCTAGGCCCGAAACGTCAGCCTTCCTGCTCCTCTGATGCTGCTTGGCCTGCTGTGTTCATCCAGCTCTACACCTTGTTAACTCGGATTCTCCAGCATCTGCAGTTCCTACTATCTATGAATGTTTTATGATCAGTTTCATTTGTGAAACTGTGACCATACAATTGTTGATGAAAACCTCTTACTCCAAAACTCAAAGACACTGCTTAATGCTCTATCTGCGCAAACATCCATTCCTTGATGCTGAGGGTTTGTGAGACAAATGCATTCGGTGTCTCTTTGGCATTATCAAATAGATGAGAGATCACAGCGTATATTCCATATGGAGAGGTATCATGTTCTAGCTTAGTCTTTAAGGATTCATCATAATGTAAAAGCATTGTACCATCTTCCAATTCACTTGTTAACAATTTGAATGCTTTGCCACATTTTTTTCAAGAGTTCATTCAATGAATGCAATACATTTGTGGAATTTGCAATGAATTTACCGTAATAATTCACTGGATTCAAAATAGATGAGAACTATTCCGAAGGTGTAGGGCATTTCTCGTTGCTTAAACCTTGGTGGATGTAACCCACCTCTCTCTACCCAGTGACCAAATGCTCAAAATAATTTTAAACATTTCACATTTGAATTCTTTCACACAAACTCTACTTTTCCAAATGTTGGAATACCTTCTTCAGTCTGTCATCGTGTATCTGTCTATTTGGATCTGAACTATGTATATCGAGGCTGAAGCTAATGCTTTGGGGAACATAGGTCTGAATGTCACTATGGTGGATGGTAAAGTTCGAACATAGAACATTACAGCGCAGTACAGGCCCTTCGGCCCTCGATGTTGCGCCGACCTGTGAAACCAATCTGAAGCCTATCTAACCTATGCTATTCCATTATCATGCATATGTTTATCCAATGACCATTTAAATGCCCTTAAAGTGGGCGAGTCTACTACTTTTGCAGGCAGGGCATTCCACGCCCTTACTACTCTCTGAGTAAAGAACCTACCTCTGACATCTGTCCTATATCTATCACCCCTCAATTTAAAGCTATGTCCCCGCGTGCTAGCCATCACCATCTGAGGAAAAAGGCTCCCACTGTCCACCCTATCTAATCCTCTGATCATCTTGTATGTCTCTATTAAATCACCTCTTAACCTTCTTCTCGCTAACGTAAACAGCCTCAAGTCCCTCAGCCTTTCCTCATAAGACCTTCCCTCCATACCAGGCAACATCCTGGTAAATCTCCTCTGCACCCTTTCCACTGCTTCCACATCCTTCCTATAATGCGGTGACCAGAACTGTACGCAATACTCCAAGTGTGGCTGCACCAGAGTTTTGTACAGCTGCAACATGACCTCATGGCTCCGAAACTCAATCCCTCTACCAATAAAACCTAACATACCGTATGCCTTCTTAACAACGCTATCAACCTGGGTGGCAACTTTCAGTGATCTATGCACATGGACACTGAGATCTCTCTGCTCATCCACACTACCAAGAATGTTACCATTAGCCCAGTACTCTGTATTCCTGTTACTCCTTCCAAAGTGAATCACCTCACACTTTTCCGCATTAAACTCCATTTGCCACCTCTCAGCCCAGCTCAGCAGCTTATCTATGTCCCTCTGTAACCTACAACATCCTTCCGCACTATCCACAACTCCACCGACTTTGGTGTCATCCGCAAATTTACTAACCCATCCTTCTACAACCTCATCCAGGTCATTTATAAAAATGACAAACAGCAGTGGCCCCAAAACAGATCCTTGAGGTACATGATTAGTAACTGAACTCCAGGATGAACATTTCCCATCAGCCACCACCCTCTGTCTTCTTACAGCTAGCCAATTTCTGATCCAAACCGCTAAATCACCCTCAATCCCATGCCTCCGTATTTTCTGCAATAGCCTACCATGGGGAACCTTATCAAACGCTTCACTGAAACCCATATACACCACATCAACCGCTTTACCCTCATCCACCTGTCTGGAATAACAAACCTAGTCTACGGGCGATTGTCATGAAAATTCACATGGTTCATGAGTTTTCCTGACGGAAAGAAATCTGCCATATGTAGCTGGTCTGCCTACATGTGACTCCAGACCCAATGTGGTTGACTCTTAATGGTCTGGAGAGCCACTCAGTTCAAGGGCAGTTGGGTATGAACAAAAAATCCAGCATTACTAGAGACACTACATCCTGTGTAAGAATAAAAGAAATCTACATAATACACTACTCCTTGCCTTAAAAAGTTCAGTTCATCATCCATTGGAGTATTCCAAGGGTTGGAGAAGGACCAGAAGGGACGCTATGAAACTGAAAAAGATCCATATAGATATTAATAGTCAAATAGACATTGACTCATCTTCCAATTTAAGTTGCATGTAGGTGTGTGTAAGATCTAATTTCAGAAAAATCTAGCCCCCTGACAACATACCAACACCTATTCACATTATATGTTAATGATCTGACAAAGGAACTGAGGGCATTGTTTCTAAGTTTGCAGATAGCACAAAGGTAGGTGGAGGGACAGGTATTGTTGAGGAAGTGGGAAGGTTGCAGAAGGCCTTGGACATGCTAGGTGAGTGGGCAAAGTAGTGGCAAATGGAATACAGTTTTGGCAAAGTGTAAAGTGAGGCATGTTGGTAGGAAGAATAGAGGAGTGGACTATTTTCTAAATAGGGAAAGACTTTGGAAACCTGAAGCACAAAGGGACTTGGGAGTCCTAGTTCAGGATTTCCTTAAGGTTAACATGCAGCTTCAGTTCGCGGTTAGGAAGGCAAATGAAATGTTAAGCATTCATTTCAAAACGGCAAGAATACAGTGTAGGAAAAGAAAGAACTCTAATTTAAAGAAGATTTGATTCCAACTGACCATCAAATAACAACAGCCATCCCACGGACAACAGTGTGTTATCATTCCTAAAATGAAAAGGACTCTGAGAAATTAAATTTCTACCTTGTGCTCTGGACTTTTGTCCTTTGGAATTTTGTTTACTCCATCTATGATCTTTGTCCAGCCATACTATATGTGTTAAACCATGTGTCTTTTGTCTGTCATAATCATGATTGTGTATTTGCAGTTTTGAGACGATATATAAATTTCATAAACTGGAAATACTTTCTTTTTCATTGTTCCCATTAAAGTCATGTGTCACAAAAATTAGGATTTTTATTGTTGCTCCTGGAGGAATGCGGCGTGAATTGCTTAATCCTCAATAGCAGTCAGGCAACTTGGTCATTTTGGTGGTCTCAATGGGGTTTAACGTATTTATACAGTTTGTGACAGGTTGTGGAACAGTGAGGCTCGATTATCCGTGTCATCTTCGCAGTTAAGTCATTACACGTACAAGGGTTGTTGAAGGTCAATTTTGGCCGTGTCAACAACTTACCATGAAGGCCTTTGCTTTTTAAAATGCACACAAATCTACCTCACAATGTGGTCTTAAAATTCTCTGAAATCACTTGAATGGACAACTTTTTCCAAAGCCACAACGATCTCTCCAACATCCTCACCGAGGAACTGATCCTTGTTCCATGCCAATAGCTGTCTGCATTCTAAAATGATTTGAGACTGTAGTGCTGCTCAAACTAGTATAAAATGTTGACAGTGGCATGTCTTTTTGTATAGAAGACGCAAGAAAATTCCTGAGTGTTTCATTTGCATGTGGGCCTGCTTCAGTCAGAAATATCACCCTTTCCCATTACCTCACTGCATGATTTAAGAGCCAGATTATGAGGAATATCCAGAATATTATTCACACTGGAAAATCCTCTCAGGCTATTCCATGCATGGCCCAGTGGAAAAAATAATGTATATATCCAAAATGGGATGGTTTTTGACTTAGCAGTGGTGGTGTTCCCATGTGCTGCTGTACTTGTTCTTCTCTGTGATAATAGTCATAGTTTTAAGAAATGCTGAGTGAATTACAACGGTGCGTCTTATAGATAGGGCTCTGGATTACATTGCTACCTCCTTCCCTTCTCCGTTCTTTTGTTTCGTCCTTTTGGTTCTTTCTGTCTCATGTTGAAACTCCAGAAAGATGAGGTACACTCAAACCAACTCAGCTTTACTGGGAGCTGAACTAAATAGTTTATTTTAAAAGTTAGATCTCTCTGTTTTTGGGTTTGCTGGGTTTTTTTGCTCTGGGCCTGTGCTTCAGACTGTGGCATTTAACTGAATCTTGGTTTCTCCAGATTTCTGCATTCATGCCAGTTCATTATTCCCTTTCTCTCCAGGTCACTGCACACGTCATATTTTTGTGGATCGCGGTGATCCGGTTTCGCACAATCGAGAATGTGTGGTATGGAGTCTCTGTTTTCTCAGCAATTACTCTATTGTGAGTGCTGATTCAGCAGGGAAAGTGCAGTTCTGGGATTGGCAGACAGGAACTCTGCTGAAAACACACCCAGTCACTAAATGTGATGTGTTGACACTTTCAGTGAACAAGGTGAGAGTAGATCTTTGTACTGTCAGTCTGTGTCACTGTTCCAGTGACAGCTGACTCACTTTTAACACCTGTCCACTGTCACATTCCACTCAGTGGCAAGCTGTGTTCTACACTCTGCTGATGGGGATTTTGCTCTCTGCAGGCTGAAGACAGCATTGTTGCTGGAACCTCTGAGGGAACTGTTGTCCAATTTCAGCTGATTGCAGTAAAGTCAGGAGTTGCTGATACTCAGTGGGTTCGTACGAAGACTTTTAAACATCATTCCCATGATGTGAGGGCTGTTATTCATACCAAGTCGGCTCTTGTCTCGGGTGGTGAGTAGATCAAATCTTTTCTGTTAGAAGAGCTATGCCGTGGAACTTTTACCTCAACTCCTTTCTTCCTTTCTTCTGCATAAGGTTTGGATGCCCAGCTTGTCATTCGTCCCCTGATGGACCGTGTGGAAACCAAGTCATACGAAGCTGCTCTCCGCAAAATCCTCTTCCCACACGTAAGAGCTTAGTGCAGCTGCTGTGGGCTTTTTCTATCTGCACTTTATTACTTACCACACTGATCAAGAAGTGGAATTCACATTTGTACTCAGTGCTGTACAGCTGATGAGCACAGGCTGTCATAGTCTGGAACTGTTTGTAGGTTGGGATTAGAAAGCTGTAGTAATGAGCTTCTGTATGATTGCTAATAGGTACAGGCTGGTCAGTTTATCATTAGCAGTGGATGGATGATGGATAAGGTTTTAGAAACAGTCAGGGGTAAAAGACTCAGGTGTTTGAAGAAGTTTGAATTACTTAAAAAGTATTATAGATTTCTAAAAGCTGGACCATGCTTGACTAACCTAAATTATTTTTTTGAAGTAACAGCAAAAATTGATGAAGACAATGCAGTGTTGTCTAAAGCAGAAGGCTTTTGATAAAGTAACATACTCAATTAGCATAATAGAACAAAGAACAAAGAAAATTACAGCACAGGAACAGGCCCTTCGGCCCTCCAAGCCTGCGCCGATCCAGATCCTCTTTCTAAACCTGTCGCCTATTTTCCAAGGATCTGTATCCCTCTGCTCCCTGCCCATTCATGTATCTGTCTAGATACATCTTAAATGACGCTATCGTGCCCGCCTCTACCACCTCTGCTGGCAACGCGTTCCAGGCACCCACCACCCTCTGCGTAAAGAACTTTCCACGCATATCTCCCTTAAACTTTTCCCCTCTCTCCTTGAAATTGTGACCCCTAGTAATTGAGTCCCCCACTCTGGTGAAAAAGCTTCTTGCTATCCACCCTGTCTATACCTCTCATGATTTTGTAGACCTCAATCAGGTCCCCCCTCAACCTCCATCTTTCTAATGTAAATAATCCTAATCTACTCAACCTCTCTTCATAGCTAGTGCCCTCCATACCAGGCAACATGCTGGTGAACCTCCTCTGCACCCTCTCCAAAGCATCCACATTCTTTTGGTAATGTGGCGACCAGAACTGTACACGGTATTCCAAATGTGATCGAACCAAAGTCCGATACAATTGTAACATGACCTGCCAACTCTTGTACTCAATACCCCATCCGATGAATGAAAGCATGCCGTATGCCTTCTTGACCACTCTTTCCACCTGCGTTGCCACCTTCAGGGTACAATGGACCTGAACACCCAGATCTCTCTGTGCATCAATTTTCCCCAGGGCTTTTCCATTTACCACATAGTTCACTCTTGAATTGGATCTTCCAAAATGCATCACCTTGCATTTGCCTGGATTGAACTCCATCTGCCATTTCTCTGCCCAACTCTCCAATCTATCTATATTCTGTTGCATTCTCCGACAGTCCCCTTCACTATCTGCTACTCTACCAATCTTAGTGTCATCTGCAAACTTGCTAATCAGACCATCTATACCTTCCTCCAGATCATTTATGTATATCACAAACAACACAGATCCCTGCGGAACACCACTGGTCACAGTTCTCCATTTTGAGAAACTCCCTTCCACTACAACCGTCTGTCTCCTGTTGCCCAGCCAGTTCTCTATCCATCTAGCTAGTACACCCTGGACCCCATGCGACTTCACTTTCTCCATCAGCCTACCATGGGGAACCTTATCAAACACCTTACTGAAGTCCATGTATATGACATCTACAGCTCTTCCCTCATCTATCAACTTTGTTACTTCCTCAAAGAATTCTATCAAGTTGGTAAGACATGACCTTCCCTGCACAAAACCATGCTGCCGATCACTAATTAGCCCATTTTCTTCCAAATGTAAATAGATCTTATCCCTCAGTATCTTCTCCAGCAGCTTCCCCACCACTGACGTCAGGTTCACCGGTCTATAATTTCCTAGATTATCCTTGCCTCCCTTCTTAAACAAGGGGACAACATTAGCAATTCTCCAGTCCTCCGGGACCTCACCCATGC